CCAGGTCAAGGCTGCGGTGGCCAGGAGCGGCCACTGCACTCCAGTCTGGGCGACAGAGTGAGACTCTAACTCAAAAAAAAAAAAAAAAAAAAAAAAAAAAACCATGGCTGACAAATTAAAAATGATCACAGAATCCCATTTCCTAATAAAGTATCATTAGTGACAGAAATGATAATATGAATGCTAAAGATATTCAGAAACTTCTGTGTATTCTTCCATAATAAATAACAAATACTTCTGAAACATACTGAACAGGCATTTATCTAGTAAATTGACACAAACAGGGTTTTTCAGTCTATATTTGCTAGCAAATATTAGTAATTATATCCTTATATAACAATGATATTTGAAAACTATACTTAATCTTTGTTTAGTAGCTCTTCAGAATAAAGCTGTAATTTACACAATGAAATTTAAAAATTTTCCAAAAAGCACTATATTTTACCAAAATAATAAGAAAATGAAGCAAAATCATAGAACAATGCAAAAAGCAGGCAGTTATTTAGCCCATTTCCATGAAAGATAGCTATTACTAAGATAAAAAATTAAAGAACTTCTGTATTTCTTTAGGCCTCTCCCCTAATTTTCAGTATGATACTGAATGAGTGATTTTGTGATTCTTAAAGCAGTCAGTATTCTTTTCTATAAAGATAGGAGGAGGCAGACCTGTTTTTAGATTTTTAATTTTTTTCATTTATTTTTATTTTTATATATTTTTCTTGTTCATTTCATTTTATTAGATTTTAAGTTCCAACCTATTTGTAAACACACTTCAATTGCTTAGAAAAAAAATAGTCACAAGAACAAAATATATTAAATTTTTTAATGGAAGTATAGTACCATTTGCAAAGTTGTTGCAACTAGATACAAGTTCATTATAAGTATACATAACAATTAATGGTCAACAAATATGGAGATAAATCTCACTTCCTACGGTAAGAATATAGCAGTAACCTATGTATTCAGAATCATTTATCATCAGTTTTAGCAAGTATCAGGTGGGTTAACTTGTGGCAGGGACATGAAACTGCATTAAGATTGGGGACCCAATTAATTTCTGTTGGTTTCCCCTAATTCTCAGCTGTGGCATGTTCCTATAAATGAAAGAGAAAAACCATACCCTCTCTGAGAATGAAATCTCTACAAATAAGAGGAAATCATTTGAGCATATGGCCAAACCATGACTCAAAGGTTTAGGACATGTCACTATTAGCCCAAGAAATAACTACCTAAAGATTAAAATAGAAAAAAATTTATTTAAAAAAAATCCATACTCATTTCACATGTGTAAAAAGTCTACCAGAAAACATGGCAGGGAAAGAGGCCATATGAGACAGCTGAGTTACCAAAGGAAAAATAGTCAAAGGAACATTCTTGCTAGTTCTTAGAAAGAGAAAAATCCCATCCACTTGATTTTCCATATATTTTTTTTCAAGGAGGGAAAAATGTTGCAGTACCTTATTTTTAAACTTGTAACACCATGGGTTTTAATTCTGATAGCCTGTCACTATTTTTTTTTCTTATTTATTCACTAAAAAAATTTCCCTTGCTAACTCTCCCCCCACCAAAAATACTAAACTATATAACATATAATTTTACATATTTTAAACAGGGCATGAATTAAAATTTATTTTGTTTTGAGAATTTTATAATGCCTTCTAGGATAAATGAAGACATCCTCTGATTTAGAAAACCTGCTCCGTGTCATCTGATACCCACAAACTAATAAGGTGACAAAGAAATCATTTAAAATCTAAGAATTTTATGATATAAATTTTCTTGTAAATGAAAAAACTTATTGAGGGAAACTGCTAGGGGAGGGAGAGGCATACCTCATCAACAAGGGTACCTGCATAATCAATGTTTGTATACCTAACCATGAATTGTACCCCACATCCTTATAATAAAAAAAATGAAACAACTTATAAAAAGGCTGCTAAAAATAACAGAATTACCTGAAAATTATTTTATCTTGTTTGTCCACATTATTTTTGCATTCATTTCAAGAGCCTAAATAAGCATAATGCCTTAGTTCCTTCAATGAGAAATGTTCTTAAAGTTGCTTCCAATTGGTCTAATCTAACTGACATCATCTAAATGAAATTGAACAAATCAGTATCTTGTTTGACCTGCCTGCACCAGAGGCCACTGCATCCAATGCAGCTGAATGCTGATTAAAATTCTAGTTTAGAAAAACTCAAGAAAAGAGTGGGATTGATTAAAGATACCTTTATGAAACGGCAAGGTTTTTGAAAGCCTGTGAGATGTTAAAATAAGTTGTTTCAATCCATCTCCTATAACTTTCATCAAATACAGCCATTTAAAAAATACTCTGAAATGATGTGTAACATCTTGACCAAATAAGGGATTCAATTTTGGTACAATGAAATGCATAAATAATAAAATTACATCAATTATATTATAAAACATAACTATTAGGATGCTCTAATACTAGCATTCTGCTTTCCAACATGTTTTCAGGTAAGCAGGGACTGGGGTATTAAAAATGCAGCATATTTTAAAGTATGCCTTTAAAGAAAAGAACAAGGTCATTTTATCCATAGGCGACCATTGAGAAGTTTAGCTCATCATTTCTAAGAATCAAACAGATGTGTATAACGCTTAACATTTATCAAGTGACAAATACCTGAAAGTAGTATGAAAATTATCAAACACCACCTATCTTGACACCTATCTGTATTAATAGCTTCTTTATTGTTAACTTATTGTCATTATTAGGCGCTATCACACTTTACCACCCTTCAAAATACCCTTTGTTGAATGTAGCAACAGATTATGCTACTTAATGCAGCAGAAAGAGCCATATGCTTTGGAACTGTACCATCCCTAATTCTGATGTTTCCAAGAAAATTATTTAATTGAAATCAAAAGTCTCAGATTGTGTATTAAATAAATGTCCTTTGTGGTCATTCATTTAAGAACTGTTTACCGAGCTTCTGGTTTCCACCCGGCACTGTGTGTGAAACTGCAGATAGAATTTTGAAAGATGCAGTCTCTATGTTTTAGCAGTTTATAATCCAGTCAAATGGGAAAATTAAATGAAGCTATGTGAAGCAACATACCTGCTCCAAGCCTGGAGTAAATCATGATGGTTCAAAACCTCATGTATCTTCCTCTATTCTAAAGGCTGCTTAAAGGCTTTGTTATCTATGTTTTGTTTTCCAGCACTTAGTCAACACGCTAAGGTGATCTATAAAGGCAACTCTACTTTGCTGAGAACCTGCTCTCCATCTGCTAATCTAATGACCTTGAAAGCTAGTTATTATATTGAAACTGTGAAATATACAATAATCCCTCAATTAACCAGGATGAACCTAAAATGTTCTGGTTCATTTAATTTACTGCTTAACAGAGTTAAGTAAAAAACCTTTTAGTTGAATACTTCCTGAAAACACATTAGAGTGTTTTCTGCCCTGATAAATACAGTGAAATTGAAAATAATGTTAACAAGTTTATTTCTCTAATAAGAGTTAAGGCAAAGATTTTCACAACTTTAGGACATCTTGCTTCAACATTTTCCAATGGCTGACAGATATAATTTGACACCAAAGAATATTATTTGGGGTCACCTTTTTAGTATTATAGAATTTTAGGACTCAAAGAAACATAAAAAAAATTTAGTTCAATGCTCTAATATTAGAAATGAAGAAAGTAAATCTCAGTGAGATTAAGTAAATCTGCCTTAGTCACACAATTAGTAGCAAAATCTGAATTAAAACTCAGAGAAGTGGACTCAGTCTAGTAGTATTTATTTTTCAAGGTATTACAGATTTATAAAATACAGGAAATTGATATGGATTTTGATTGACTGCACAGCATATCCTAAAAATAGCCTTGAGAGTAGAACTTTGTTTTATGTCATTTTCCTCCTTGTGATAAAAACCAAATGTACAACAATTTCTGTCTAATTTTGGTTGCTTCCAAGCAATTTCTTAATATTGATATTACCACCGTTTTGAAAATAGTACAGATTTCTGTGTTAGCATTTGAAAATCAAGTTTGTATACTTCTTCTCTATTGGTTAGTAGAACTGTATTTAGTAACCAAAGATGCCATTTTGTGAACACATCTGCTGTGCTGAACACCTAGGCCCATGGAGTCAGACTTAAACAGTATTTTTAACATTGTCTGATTGCCCTTGTTTTGTGGTGTCAAGTCAGACAGTTAGCAATAGTTGAATGTAGTTTATTTTCTCATGGTATAATATTTAGAGCATTCAAGAGCATGTTAAGTAAAATGAATGCATACACAGTGTCTACATAAATGTAAATTTATTCATAATCAAGAGCAGAATATTTTCTATGGCATTTATCAAAGCAAATATCCTTATATAGGTATTGCTATAAAATGAAGAGTGTGTTTAAAACAAATAGGGACAATCTCATGTTTATATTCAGTTATTTTCAGATGTGCTATTAAACTTAAAAAAGATTATATTTCATCAAAAAAACAAAAGGAACCATGGAGTATAAATTCCACAGTAATATCAAGGTCTTTTAAAAGACCTTTGTATAAAAGTGTTATCTTGCATTGAAAAATGCTATTGTCTGTCTAAAGAAACCTCTAAACTGTGTTGATTCTGGGCTTTATTAAGTAACTTCTTCTGAGATAGAAGTTTAATGTATACTAGAATACAATAACAATCAATAATATTTGAGGGTCATTTAAACCTTCATTTTAAAATATAAGATCTAAATTTTCATACTGTGAATTGTTTTTTAAATGAATAAAAGTTCTACAGGGAAATCATCTTATTAATCCAAGCACTTTAGAAAAGGCTCTGAACAAGTATGATGTCCTACAAATAAAAAAATAATTCTGATAAATTCATCTTAGATTTGGGAAAATCTATCTACAGAATTAAATTGTCATTCTATTATTTTACCTAATATAAATAAATATTTCAGTATTAGAGCAACAGAATTCTCATGTAGGATATGAGGTGAGTTTTCAGTGTAAATATCAATACATGAGGTTTTTTATTTTTTGCTTTTTTTAATGAGAGAGAGAGAAAGATGAGACAAAAATAAGGGAATAAATATGGAATGATGGAGACAGAGAAAGCAATAGAAGTAAAGTAAACTTACTGCCAGCTTGATGAAATATTTAGTACCAGGAAAAAGGTGTAGTATGTGATCCTGGAAAAGTTCTGTACTATTATAGATGACATTCCAAATTGTAAAATCATGTGTATGATTTGAAATATATAATATATAGCGTTCCAGAATTCCATTTACTTCTCTTGGTTGTTTCCACCTGGGAATGGGGAAATACAGCGTTATCATCATCATTCATTCAAGTGCAAGATTTTCAAAGGACACATATGAACTTAGCTTTGTACCCTTGAGGGAAACAACCCCCCACAAATCTCAAAAGTGATTTATCTTAAAAAAACACCTAAATAGTTTTTAAATGCCTATTCTGAGTGGCATAAATAAAATGTGATATAGTCTCTGCTTTCTAGTTATTTATGATTTTAATTAGCTAACAACACAAAAATGTATGAGTGAGTACTTGATTTTGAGTTTAACTCACAGAACAAAATGTGAGAGGAGCAGAGCATCTGAGGATTTATGAGATATGGGAGAGAGAATAATGTAACTGTCCTGAAAATTCCAGCAATCTAACATGAAATTAATATGCAATTATAGAATAAGAGAAGGTGAGGATAAGAAGGGCTGACATAGTCAGCCAAGACTTCTTGAATGAGGTGACACACTACTTAGATATATAAGATTTTATATTTATTAGATGGATTGGATTTGGATAGGTAGAAGGAAAAATAGAGGGTATTCCAGATGAGGATTACAATGTATATCAGTGGGAATGGGAAGGGCAAGTCATGGACACAGATGGGAAATTGTTAAATTAAGAAGTACTGAGAGTAGTGGGGAATCTTTTGGGGTAAGTAATGTGGCTCAAGTTAAGGGTGCACTGAAAACCAATGGGAGAATTTAGACCTGGACCAATGGAATATGAATCATAATATTCTTCAGCTTGAATGAATGCTATAATGTATACAGTCCAAACTCCTCTTTTACAAATGAGAAAACTGAGACCAAGAGAGAAAAATGTGAACAAGTATTCACTGGTGATCAGAGAGATTTTAGCTTAGGACTACAGCACACCTTACACCTCATGTATTAGGAAATGGACAAGAATCACTAATATCAGAAACCATCAGGATTCACATGCCTAAATGTAAAAGCTTCTTTATGCCTTCAACCATTGGGAATAGGGAATTTAGAAGGTCTTCATTTATGCTCAAAAAGAAAAAAATATGTACATTCTTTAATACCAAATCATTGCAAATGATGCCCCACACATCAAAGCTCTAGGCAGTCATGTAAGTGGTCCATTTTCCCTTTATTGGCGTTTGCATGGAATCTGTGTACATAGGTAGCTCAGCCTGATTGCATAAAGACAAAATGGAAATTAGGTTGGCAAATGATAATCAAAGGTTCCCAGAACCACTGAACTAATCACTTCTATGCATTTAATCACAATAAAATTAATTTTATGTCACAAGTTCCTCCCTTGATTGAACTTACTGGGCTTCTCACATGAACCAGTGCATAACAGAGACAACTTGTGTTCCTACTTACTGTACGTATATAGTTCTAGAATCCAGTACAGTCAGAAGTGGTGAATCCACGTCTTCTGGTGGCAGCTGTGCCGTGTACAGAAGGGCCCGGGAACTGTTTGTACATCCCACAGATGTGCATGCACTGAGTAGAAATTGGTGGGGCGTAAATACTGCTAAATCTGGGGAGTAGAAAGAAACAAGAATTTATCATTATACATTTAATTCAGGAGATCCCGCTTTTCTACATTCCTATCTTTGAGAACTATAAAAATAAAGTTTAAAATAAGAAAGAATAGCCATAAAAATCAATAGCAATAAAATACAGGGTGCTTTAGCACTTAAATATACTATGATTGCTTTTAAATAGACAAGTGTCCATCAAATTCTTGTTCTGACTTTTTTTCATTTGAACAATTTGACTGTTTTCTTGAATACTCTGACCAGGTAAATCCTTTTCTAAGTTTAGTGCTAGTTCAATGGCTCTGTTTAAAAATAAATGAGATATTTAAATTATTTTAAAGCATATTTGAAGACAACAGCAGTTGCTTTTGAAATGCAAATACATGACTTGTAACAATGACTTTGAGCTTGTAATTCCATTTGCTAAATTCCTTTCTTCTCCTGTCCACTTAACAAACTATTATTTGACCTTCAAGTTGTCCAAGTTCAGTGCAAATGCCTGTTTCTTTCTTAAGATGTCACTAATGCTCCCTGCTGTCACCCCAGCACAACAAGGTGGAGCTTTTATACTCTACTTTGTCACCCACAGTACTTTGTGACTAACAAAATACTTTAGCTTAACATGTATAACACTATTTCATAATTATTTGTTTACATCATGATCTGATACACTAGATTAAACACTTTGAGAGAAGAAATGGTGACATATTCATTTTGTACCTTCAGTGTCTAGCACAATGCCTGGCACACTATAGGCTTTAAATATATGTGTTTGAATAACATGAATAATTAATGAATAAGATGAGCTAGGTATGAAAGATGACCATAAAAGTGGGATAGTACCTTAGCTAGAAATAATTTCTCCCTTCCCAGCACCTCTCTAGTACTTTATACCTGTCCATCTTTCTAGTGGATATTATAGTCTCTTGCATTAGAACAAACCTGTAATTTACTAATTCAATTCAGAAATACTCTGAATACTTCATTTACAAAAGTCCTCAGTAATCTAACCAAAGTTCAGTCAAGTTTACTAAGATGTACACATCATTCATACTTTTACACTACTAGAAATAATCATTATTTCCTGGAATATTTTTGAAATAAGTTAGTCACAATTTAAGAAACACATATTCTTAAATCTCATTAACCTTGAGCCATTACAATTTCATGTTTAAAAGATTAATGAAATGCAACTTAATTCAGGCAAATGGATTTTGCATCGCACTGATAACAAAAGTAAACTGGGAAAAGAACACTTTGATTTTTATGCAAAGTACAATCAATTGGTTAAACATGTAGGTCACCAAAAGAAAGGTAAAAAAAAAAGTTTCATAAATACAGTTACCTTAGAACAAAAATTTGTCATCAAGAAGAGGCTTTTAACGCTTTTGATTAAACTTGGTTTTTTTAATTTTTGTTTTGCAACTTCTATCCTATAGGAATTCAACGGTGGCAGGTTAAGATAGGGCACCCCCAACCAACATGGTCAGGAGGCATGTTGCAAGGACAATTTGAAGCTTGTGGTAAAGCAGTGTGGCATTGCCAGGAACTGCTGAGGGATGGCAGCAACCACTGCACCACGTTTACATGAGTGAGACAGACCGGGATGCTTTCATTTGGATCAACAGTCTCTGAAACTTCCGAAGGAAAAAAAATCATGAGGACAGTGGCTTCAAATGCTACCAGAGAGTAGCCACCCAATTTTATAGGTGGTAAGGAAGTCACTCCATTTTTAAAAAGCCTGATACTTTCTTGTATATGTTTTCATGGTACAGACTTGCATATTGGGACTCAGGTATCTTAGTCAGAATACATTATCACAGTATCACCATATCACAGTGTCTTCCTTCACAGAATGCCCCATTCTCCTTCATATTGTGACCTCCATGCTTTGAAGGTGACCTTGATCACCTAACCCATGAACCCACCCAGAATATCGGCATCAGATGGGAGTAGCTTCCTGAAGCAATTAATTCAGGTGTTGCTATCTGTGCTTGGATTCCACTGTGACAAGACATCTTCCTCCATTGATTTAGAAGCATCTGTTTCTATAACAGTCAAGACTAAGGGAGGTCAGGATGTGCAAGTGAGTATCCTTGGAAGGGTCATGTTGTTTGAGAGGGCTAATATGGCTGGTGAGCCTAGATTGAATAGAAAACACCACTGCTTCATTCCTAGTTAGAGTTTACCCCTAGACTATTTAAGGTATTGTAAAGTTTGTGGTTTTAAAAAATGTTGCATTTTACAAGATAGCATGGCTTTAAACTGAATATGCAACTTAGTTTAAGGATGTTAGTGCTATATAATATGAAAAGTGCTGCAGGAAACATAGAACAGTATAGAAAAATCAGGGCTTCTGGGTAATTTTGATAGGTAAGAGTTAGAAGAGATCTCATTGGAAAGGTGACCTATTGAGCAAAGTAAACGTTGTAGTGATTCTGGGGCAGGGCCATTCCAGAAGAGAAAAAAGAAGAACCGATGCTTAGAACATGCCTTAGGAGTAGCAGCCAATGTGGCTAGAGCAGAACAAATGAGACAGAAGGAAGAGACGACATCAGGAATTTAATGAGAGGCCACCTCACATGGGCCTGATAGGTCTTTGTAAGAATTTTGGTTTTGGCTTTTAATTTAAGATATTCAAATTAGGAAACCACTAAGGATATAGAACAGAGCTGTTATACAATCAGAGCTAGACTTCATGAATAACACCCTGGCTTTTAGGTGGAGTACAAACTATAGTGAGCAAGAGCATGAGAATAAATTCCACTAAACAGGCTATTGTAATATTAAGTGGAGGCTGGTAGTAAGTGAGTAATAAATGGTTGAATTCTGAATTTGTTTTAAAGGCAATGCTAACTGGATTTCCCAGTGCATTGCAGGCAGGATTTGAGAGAGAGAGAGGAGCCAGAGGTTTTTGGCTCCAAGGTTTTTGGCCTGAGCAAAGAGAAGGATGAAGTAACTATTTATTTGGTTGAAGGGAGATCATGGAGGGGATAGTAAAAAATGCATATTGTAGACATGCAAGTTTAATATGTTAGTTAGACAACCAGGTAGAGATTATTAATTAGGCAATTTGGACACAAGTTTGGAATTACAGAAAGTACTGGTTTAAGATATAATTTGAAAAGTCATTGTCATATAGATGGTATTTAAAATGGATGAGAATACAAATGGAGTGAGTGTAGCTAGAAAAAAGATATAAGAATGAAAACTCTGGGACACCAACATTAAGATGTCAGCAAGTAATGTAGAAATCAACCTAGGAGTCAGAGAAAAAGTGACCAGTAAAATATGAAGAAAACAATGAGATTACGGTGTCCTGAAAGTAAAATTTTTTATAGGTCAAATAAGATGAGGACTAAAAATTGACCAACAGGTTTAGCAATATGGCAGTCAACAGTAAATGTGCAATTGAAGTTTCCATGAAATTGTGGGCACCAAAGTCTGACTTGAGTGGGTTTATGAGGAAATGAGAGACAGGAATTAGGGACAGTAAATATAAGTAACTTTTTCAAGAAATATTGTTGTAGAGGAAAGCAGAGAAATGAAGAAATAGATAGAAGGTAAGTAGAGGCAAGAGAAGATTTTTAAAAATCAAGTGAGAGAAAAATTACATTGTATGCTGATGGGAATGCTCCAACAGAGAAGAAATTAATAGAAGTGGATGAAAGAGAGAAAAAAATTGCTGAAGTTTTGTTCTTGAATATGTGAAAGAGTGGAATCTAGTTCAAAAGTGGATGAGTTGGCCGGGCTCGGTGGTTCAGTCTGCAATCTCAGCACTTTGGGAGGCTGAGGAGAGTGGACTGCCTGAGTCCGTGGGTTCGAGATCTGCTTGTGCAACTTGGTGAGACCTCATCTCTATAATAAAAAGCAAAAAAAAATGTAGCTGGGCATGGTAGTGCGTGCCTGTAGCTCCAGATACTTGGAAGGCTGAGGCGGAAGAATCGCCAGAGCCCAGCAGGTCGAGGCTGCGGTGGCTGAAAGTATGCCACTGCACTCCAGTCTGGGCGACAGAGTGAGACTCCAACTCAAAACAACAACAAAAAAAAGTGGATAAGTTGAACTTAGAAGGCACAGAGACAATGTATAGTCACAGGAGGTAATGCAGATTATGTGGGTGCAATTGCTGATAGAGGGATAGACAGTGGCAGAGTCTGTGAGAGTTACTTTCTAACTGCTTCAGTTTTTTCGGTGAGGAAGAAAGCAAGATCATCAATCAAGAGTTATCTTTGATTCTCCAGGGTAACACCCTGCAGTGGCCTTCTATTGCTCTTAGAATGAAATCTAATAATGGTCAATGAGGTTCTACTTGACTCAACAGCAGTCTTCTCCTCATTCCTTTTATATGCTAGGCATATTTCTGTTCCTCTAACATGACAAACTCACATTTTTAGGCCTTTGCAGGTGTTATTCCTTCTAACTAAAATTTATTGTCTCCTTTTTTTGTACTTGGCTGACATTTTCTCATTCTTCAGTTTTATCCTCCCCTGAGTAAGGTTCCTTGATAATAGAACAATATGGTCATCATCATCTCCAGGATCTCACTGTCATATCACTTTGTTTAGTTTCTTATCATGATTACTAAAATAAGCCAGAATTTGCCTTATCATTTATTTCCTGTCTTCATATCCCTCTCAGGAGGATGAAAACTTGAGTGCAGAGAGATATTTTTTATCATGTTCACCATAATAACTCCAGGATCAGTGTGATGACTAATTGGCATAGTTTTATTTGTTGAAAATAAATGGGCAAGACCAGAGGGAGATCTTTATGACCATTACCCAGATTGCCAATTTTTTTTCCAGAAATAATGTCTAGGAATATTTACAAATCTCCAAGAATCTAATGAATACAGTGGAGGAGTCTGTAGTTATAAGGTAAAGGAGATTTACTATTTAATAAAAGAAAAAGGCACAACTCTGCCTGTGTGAATGCCAAAACATAATTTGCAAGTACTAATGCTTTATTTAAAAAAAAAATAGGAGCTAGAGCTATACCA